CGTGGTGGGAGGTGCAGGGGCAGGAAGCTTGGTTCTCTTAACAAAGATTGCACAACTTTATCAGATTTCCCCCCAAAGGCATTTCCTCAGGAATCCCATGGGGGATGACATATTTTCAAAGAGGATTCTATTTTTGGAATTCGTGATTAATAACGTAGTTAATAATAGCTAACAGTGAAGGGGGATGATAGTGTGTCAATCAGTGTACCAAGTGTATTACGTATAGTACCCCATTTAGTCCTTACAAGCCCTTTCAATGGTGGCACTATTAGCATCCCCATTTTACAGATGGGGAAACTGAACTCACAGAAATTATTATTTTCCTAAGGTTACAGAATTTAGTAAATTTTGATTTCAAACCCAGGCCAGTATTACTCCAAAATCTAGACTGGATTGTCCCCCTCCTTACACTTTGTCGTGTAAGACAGTTCAGTTCATTAATTTTTAAAAAAAAAAAAAACTAGCCAGTCTGGCAAGGACACTGTCACTGAGCTAGGCATCTATTACCTTCTTTGTTGGGGGTGCTATGCCTTTAAGCAACAAAATATTGGGCTGTGTGTTTATTCTCTTGATACTGGCTGAGACACATGGGTGACAGTCTCAGGAGGCTGAGGCAGGAGGATTACAAGTTCAAGGCCAGCCTCAGCAACTTAGTAAGACTGTGTCTCAAAATCAAAAGGGGGCTGGAGAGGTAGCTCAGTGGCAGAGTGTCCCCTGGTGCCATCCCCAGTATTCATTTCAAAAAGATCAACACTGAGATTCACTGCAACATCGCAAGAATAAGATCCAACCATTCTGGGTTGACATTGAATTTTTCAAAGGGCCATGCAGTATCATCTATAGCAAATGATCACTAGCTTCTGTGAATTGAATGAATGCGTGAAATTGGAGTATAACACCTGGTAGTGTGTTTGCCATTGGCCGGACATGACCCTATGAAGGAGGCCAAGGACTGAGGACTTCTGACCAAGTATTTGCCACATCCAAGAACTTCTCTGCCCCAGCCGTCAGCCCCTCAGACAGCTCAACCGCAATGACTGGAGTCTCTGAGGAGACCTAACTAAACACAAAGGCATTTTTACATTATCTTTTCTCCACTTCATTATTTAAACAAGCGCCTCCTGTTCATACACAAACCTTCCTCTTTGCGCTCTTCAGCATCCCTCTCAGATTGTTTGCCTCACGGTCTGCAATTCCCCCAGCAAGACGGCTAGCTTCAGAAATGCCAATTTTAATTAAAAGTGCAATTTTCAAATTCACCCAGAGCTCAGATAGGATGTGGCACGCTTGCTGCCCTGTGATCCTTCGGGCTGCTTTGTTGATTAAAATGGGTGCCGCTTTAAGTGCTTTGTCAAATCTTCACAAAAAAAGGAGGAGAAATTGACATTTACACCTTTATACTGGCAAGAAAGTGATATATTAGATTCACCCCTGTTGCTGCAAACGCTTGATTGTGGCTTAAGGGTGGCATTAGGCCAAAAGGTCCCCAGTGATAGCTCTGTTTCAGTGCTTCAGCCTTTAAGCGCCCTTCCTCTGGCTGCTGATGGGAGTCACCATCCATTTCCCATCCAGTTTCCCACCCCGGACTTTCCTGCCTCTGCCAGGACTTTGAGCTTCTAGGGTAATAGTTGTCTAATTTTAGTGAATACAAGGAAAAGCTTTAAAAGCTCTCTTTCGGTGCAGATTTTGTTCCTACTTCCAGAGATTCTGACTTAACAAATTTAGAGTATACTCCAAGAAAATTTTATTTTATTAATTCCCAGAAAATAAATGACAAGGGTCTGAGCTATGCAGTGGTCCTGGAAGAAATTCTGCACAGAGCTTCGAGAAGTGTACCCCTGTCCAGATCTGAAACTTGCATTCTGGTGTCCTTGGGCAACTCACGCACTTCCCCTCTATGTTACCACTTCTTGATTATAAACAAAGAATCATGCAATAGACAACAGGGCAATGCTTTTAATATGCAATGACTTTTGCCTGGTGTGGTGGTGCACACCTGTAATCCCAGTAACACAGGAGGCTGAGGTAGGAGGATCACAAGTTAAAGGCCAGCCTCAGCAATTTAGCAGAACGAAATTAGCAATGTAGCAAGATCCTGTCTCAAAATTTAAAAAAAATATATATATAAAGGGCTGGGGATACAGCTCAGTGGCAAAGCATCCTTATTGAACATTATTTGTAGTGGCAAAAATCCTGGGGAGAGTCTTAAGAATCTATCAAGGGATTGGTTGAATAAATTCTGCTAATCCAAACTGAGAAATATTCCACAAATATTGAAAAGAAAAACTGTTAGATCTTGAAGGGCTGATCTTGAATGATATTTATGATATATTATAATGTGGAAATGTCAAATAATAGAGTGATGGGTATACTGTGATCCCACTTTTTAAAAATTTATTTATTCTAATTTGTTACACATGACAGCAGAATGCATTTCAATTCACAGTACACATATACAGCACTATTTTTCAAATCTCTGGTTGTACACAAAGTAGAGTCACACCATTCGTGGCTTCATACGTGTACATAGGGTAATGAGGTCCATCTCATTCCACCATCTTTCCTACCCCCATACCCCCTTCCATCCCCCTCTCTCCCTTTCCCCATCCAAGGCTCCTCCATTTTTCCCATGCCCCCCCAACCCCATTATGATCTCATTTTTGAAAAAAGAACACTCCAGGCTGTGTTTATAGATGTGTGCATGATGTGTAGAAGAAAACACACTAGACTGACATTACTGGTTTCCTTGTAAGGTGAGATTATAAGGGGAACAAGAAATGACATTACTGTCTTTACTCACTTCCACAGTATATGACTTGTTCCAAAAGAGTGCCTAACTATTACAAGTGAACAATTCCAAAGATGATGTAAGACCTAACCAAGGCTGGATGTGATCTCAACTACTCAGGAGACTGAGACAGGAAGATCACAAGTTTGAGGACAGCCTGAGCAACATAGTAAGACCCTGTCTCAAAATAAAATACAAAGGCCAGGGGATGCAGCTCAGTGATAAGGTACTTGCTCAGTATGTGCAATACCTTAGATTCAAACCCTGTAACACACACACCATCAATCAATCAAGAGCCAAGAAGTATTAGGACTGAACCCAATGGATTCCTTTCAGCTCCAACTGTCTTTGAACACTAATGTTCCTTCTAGGGTACCCCCTATACACCCCACATCGGAGAGGCACAGTACTGCTATCTATCCTAGCTGGTGACTAATGCTGGGTTCACAAAACCTGACTATTCCAATAACTTATGAAAATGACAAAGAAACCATGCAAACACACGGAAGTACCTTTTCAACACCCGGGACAGCTCTCTGACCTGAAGGGCCCTTGGAAGGAGAGAGAGCCATTGGAATCCTTTATTCTTATATAGGTGGCACACAAGGGGAGGTTCCATGGGACATTCTATCCCCAAAAGGGCAAAGGGGTAGGATTACAAAGGAACAGGTGAGTGTAATTTAACCCCAGCGGGTGACGCCTACTCCTGGAGCCACACCTTGTTATCAGAGCTGGGGAAACGCCCGAGTTACTGCCACCTGGCGTTACTGTGCCAGACTGAAGGCAATAATTGTTCAGAGCCCCGTGCATCAGGACTTAAAGGCGTCTGCACCCAGGGCAGCTCTGGACAGCATAGGCCCTTGAATCTGGATTTTGTGACCAGATCGCACCTCCAGATCATCACCTATCCTGGGGACTTGCAGGTGACAAGATATGGCAAAGTCCTAACTCTCCTCAGGTTCTCCCCCCCCAGGCATTGCGTGGCTCCTTGGGTACCTTGTGAAATTCGCACTCAGGCCCACCTGGGATCCTCTGGGGACTGAGCCGTGTTCTATCTCAGGGAGGTTATTTAAGGGAGTGCAGAGGACTTCCGGCCCCAGGCAGCCCCTGCCCCTGTGAGAGCTGCCCACATGCACAGCAGGCGGTGTTCTGGCTCCAGGAGGTTCCCGGAGCGGGGCCTCCTGCCCTCCCACTGGGGTGTCAGTCTTCTCAAGTTCACGTCCAGAGCAGAAACCTGGGGACTGGGGCTACAGCGATGCTTCTTTATTCAAAACCCTATTTTTAAAAAATGAAATGTATCACAAATCTAGAAAGATTTAAAGGATATAAATGTGCATAGTTCATCTATAATCCTGAAATAAACACCTGTGTGACTACCTCGCCAGTCAACCAATAGAACATTGCCTGGGACTCCCTATAGGGTCCCTTCCAGCCATGTCCTCTTTCTTCCCCCAGAAGAAACACTATTCTGCCATCTAGGGTCAACCATTTCCCCCACTTTTAAAATATAGCTTTACCACCTGTGTACACATCCCCAAACAATATTTTAGTTTTGCCTGCCTTGAATGTAACAGTTGTGGATGTGTCGATGTGTGTGTGTTAGTGTCAATACAAGGAAGATTTATCCATGTTGCTATGTGTGGCCTGGTTCATTCATTTTCACTGCTCTATAGTACTCCATCATGTGATTACACCACAGTGCATCACCCTACCCTTGATAGGTATTTGGGCTTTTTCCATTATTGGCTCTTACAAACCATGCAGCTGTGATTGCTGTGTGTATGTCTCCTAATGTTGCATACACAACTATTTCTAGAAAGAAACAGAATTGCTGGGTCACAGGGTTTGCAGGTCTCCAACTTTACTCCCTAATATCCAGCTGTTTCTAAAATAGCTCTATCCATTTACAATCCCACAAACAGTGAATGAGAATTCTTTGGACTCCAATATTTCACCAGAATTGTATGGATGATTTTTTCTTTCTCAGAGTCTGAAACTGTTGGTGCTTTTTCCTAGAGAATTTCCTTTCCTGGTTTTCTTATTTATCTTGCTGGCTCTAGATAGTCATTCAGGACCCTTCCTCCTGGAAGCCTTCTGTGACTCCTTCACTATGGGCCATTTGCTGCCCCAGGGCTCCCTAGTGTCCACATTGCCTCCACGGCAGGTATTAAGCTATTTACCTCCATATCTTGCCCCCCCCCACACCCTGCAGGATCCCTGGAGGCAAGGAGTGTATCTAGTGCAGTGTCTGGCTCACAGTAGGTGCCCAGTCAACAACTGTTGAATGAACAGGTGAAATCCATTTCTCCCTCCGACCGATGGCTCTCCTCAACCATTGGGAGGCCAGGTGAGTATTAAGGCTTTGCAGAGAATTGTTGCCAAAACAATAAATAATAACTCTGGGGAAATTAATTGTCAGATCTGGCTCTTTCATTAGTAGCTCATCAAAGGACTGTGAGCCCCCAGGGGGACTCTTAAAAATAAGTAACCGATCAGCATGGAAGGAAGGGCATCCTCTTCCCAGCACCCCACCAACACAACACACAAACAGATGCACCTCCTGTGAATCGCTGGGCCTGGCCATTTAACACAGTTATTACCAACTCCCACTTAGTGAATTATGAGCAAGAGCCTTGAGAGAGCTTTCAAAGATCTTCAAACGGATGTTTAAAAGCCTGCGGTTGCTCAGACAGGCTAAGCTAATGGCATTTATTACTTGGAGCATAGGGTATTTACATAAAGCAGGATTTTTATTATAATGGTCAGATGGGGAGGGTAGGAGGGAAGGGGAGGGGGAGGGTGCAAGCATTGTACTTTGACTCAACATAGAGGATGTTATCACACCCCTCATCCCCACCATAGGGTTGCTTCTCTCAGATGCCAGCATAAACACCAAGCCTAGGGCAGGGGTCGGGTAGGAGGAGGGCCCCTGAGAGAGAAGGCACCAGGTTTCTATGGAGCAAGGGGCTCAGCACCCTGGACAGCTCACAGCGTCTGCCACTGATCTTCGGGTAGCTGCACTGTCAGCTCCCATTCTCACTAGGGTCTGTCCACTGAAGCTGTAGGGGAGGTCCCTCACTCGTCCAAGCTACAGTCTGAAATGGAGATAATCAAGGGATCTACTCTCTTCTGGCTTAACCAGTGGTCCTAGCAGTCTCTGTACACTCCTCTGCACAATGGAAATGAATTGAAGCCGGTTGTTGCTGGCCTCTGGGAGTCTGTACTAGTTGTCTACTGCTTCGTAAAAAAATAAAAATAAATTAAAAAATTCATGAAACTTAGGGACTTAAAACAACAATGGCTTTTTATTTCTCAGGATTCTGTAGATGGACTGGGTAATTCTACCTGGAGAACTCTTGCAAATGCAATTGGCTGATGGATTGGTTGGGGCTGGAGGGTCAGGTGGTGAGTGTGGATTTAATAGAGGGGGAGATGAAAGAAATGAGTCTGGAATATGAATGTGTGTTTCCAGGCTGGCACCATGGAAAAGAACATTTGAGGAAAAGGAAGAAGCATGAGAGCAAAGGTCTGAAATAACAAGGGATGTTTGGAAGCCGTGCAGATCCCAGAGGTCAGGAGGTGGAGGCAGGAGGATCCCAAGTTCAAAGCCAGCCTCAGCAATTTAGCAAGGCGCCAAGCAACTCAGTGAGGCACTAAGCAACTCAGTGAGGCCATGTCTCTAATAAAATACAAATGGTCCTGATGCCAGATCATAAGAGAGCTTGGGGAGAAGAAAGATTTCAGATGATTCTGGAGGAGGTAAGTAGGATATTGGTTAGCCAAAAAAAAAAAAAACTGGCATCATCCTGTAGGTGTAAAGGAGACCCAGAGTGATATTATTTACATGTATTATTACTACATACCAGACATAATGCTAAACATCGGAGATTCAGTATTGTCCCATTTCATCCTTACCATTACCATTTTACGCATGAAAAATATTGAGGCTTACCCAGAGTCACATAGCTGGTAAGTGGCAGAGATGTGATTCAAAACCCATATAGTCTGGCTTCAAAATTAGTGTTTTAATTATTACATCCCATAGTCCTTTGGAGGGTGACAGCACACATATATGACAGCATACACATATGCAGAGCCTAAACTATCTGGGAACACACAGGCTCATCTACAACAGGACCAACACATTCATGTACACACACAAATGCACACAGCCCACCCATGCAGGTGGGCTTGGAGACACATGCCTAATCACATACCTGATAGCAACTGCTCACTCTGGGGGACTCCAAGCTGAAGTCCCTTTCCTGGAAAGAGCAGGAAGGAGACTACTGGAGAGGAAATGAGGAAACACCCCAACCAGCCAAGGCAGTGGGCACACAGGAGTCGGTAATATTCTATTCCTACACCTGATAGATCTGGCCCAGGAGGGCTGCTTTAGGGGCCACAGTTGGCTTCCTTCAACCACAGTTGTCCATTACACGATTGGTTGGGAGGTTCCAGCAACCTGGCCTCTTGGAGATTCCAGCTCTTAAAACAGTTGTCTTGACAGGTGGAGGAACTTAAAGAAGTTCTTGATGAGGAACACTTGTGCAAACCTATTTAATACCCCCCAAATTGGTTACATTAATACATCACTTATTTCTTTAAGTCAAATATGGTTAGTTTCAAATCCCATCCAGCTGGCTAAGGAAACAACTAGTCCTAATGAAGCCTCTTCATCCACCTCTACCAGGGCAGTTGATGGAAAACCACACCACGGGGCTTTACTCAGAGGAGGTCACACGAGGAGCTGATGAAATGTTCCTGTACAAACTCACATGATCCCTGAAGACAGGTAGTTCTGAGGCCCGAATGCCAATATGGGCACAGAGACTTGTCGAGGACCTTTGCTGGGTCTTCTTTGCCATGGCACCTTCTCTACCTTGTTTTGATGCCCACCCTCCTCACTCCGATCTTCCATCCATCAAATGTTTCTGGAGTGCTCCGGATGGGACAGACACTGGACCTACAGTGATGAACTGTAGCTGCATCGTGGGGGAGCTCCCAGGACAGGCAGAGGATGCTTCCAGAATAACCTCAGAGTGGCAATGCCTCCCTCTCCCCTCCCCTCCGATGGAGAAATGGAGGCATTAAAACTGGTTCCCAGCAGCCAGGCACAGTGGCACATGCCTGTAATCCCAGCGGCTCAGGAGACAGAGGCAGGAGGATCGTGAGTTCAAAGCCAGCCTCAGCAATTTAATGAGGTGCTAAGCAACTCGGTGAGGCCCTGTCTCTAATAAAATACAAAATAGGGCTGGGGACGTGGCTCAGTAGTTGAGTGCCCCTGAGCTCAATCCCCATATCTCCCCCCTCCCACACACACACAAAAAAACAGAAAATAAACAGTTCCCCTTTGCTGTTGCACCCTGTTGGGCTTGAGATGATGACCATGAGCTGGGCCTTGCAGAGCCTTGTGCATGAAAGTGAATGCTACGCTCTCCAAGGTACCACTCCCCAGAGGTTGGGCAAATGACCACCGGATGGGGATCACAGCAGAGTTGCCCTCACCATTGCTCTAAGGGAGGCCCAGACCCTTTCTATATGGACAGGCCTCTAGGTGGTCTTCTTAGTATCCTAGAGTCCTAGAAGTGGGATTCTATGCTGATCATCCCACATACCCCAACGAGACTCTCTTAATAGCTTCTCGGAGAACAATCAGTTAAAAAGGAAGGGACTGTTGAAAGATGTCTTCCTTTATCAGCCTGATTCTCCAACACAAACTGATCAACTTCAGCAGACTTAATTCAAATGAAATGCACGTTCTCAGTGCTATAAAGATGACTTTATCACAATCGAGAAGAGAATGATTAAAAGAGATGAATATGTGGGTGATTGAATACAGGATGTTCAGTGACAGGGATGGAGGGTGCCGATTGATATCTCCATTCAACCTCGGCTGGGTTGATGATGCTCCCAGGGGCTGTCCCCTCACCAGGCAGAGGCAGGATGCCCTTGGGTAAACACTGCTCTAATGACACCTAATAGCCACCACCTGACACAGAGAGTAGTCAGCCTGGGGTGCCCTGGTCATTCCTGGACTCCTGCTGTGGTCAGCTCAAAGGAAATACAGAAGTGGGACCTGGAGCCAGCCTGCTGGGGTTTGCATAGCTGCTACCCCATGGAATGGCTGTGTTGTTGTAGGTCAGCTGGTTAACCTCCCTGTGCCTCACCTTCTCCATTTGGAAAATGGGGCTAGTGATAATGGCGGGAGCCTCCCAGACTTTCCTGCAAAGATTAAATTTTGGAACGTACACGAAGTAGAGTGATGATCCCATTGCAAAGGCCAGTATAGGTTGACCTGGTGCCAGCCTCTCTTTTCTCTTTGAAGTTTGCTGCCTTTTGGGGCCTGGCCAGGACAATGTGGGGCCTCTGACCCTTGTGGAAGAATCCTTTAGCTAGCAGGAGCATTGCAGCGAGTGTGAGCATGGCTGTGACCTTCTCCATCAAGCTGCAGTATTCATGTACTGTGCTGTGACTTGGCAGCAGGGCGGCCTTGAAGCCAACTTCTTGGGTTCAGACACTGGCTCTGCCACTTAGTGGCTGTGTAGATTTGGATATATTATTCTACCTCTCTGGACCTCAGTTTCCTTATCTACGTCATGGGGCCACCAACAGTCCTTCCCTTATAGGGCTGACGTGAGGACTAAATGAGATAACCCTAGGGAGAAGGAGGCACTCAATAAACGCTGGCTACAACTAATCTGTTGTCTTGATGGCATCTCTTCTCATGCCCTGACTGTGTATATCATCTGTTAGGTTTTAAAGAACCATTTATTCATGCACTTATTGAATACATTGCTATTGAGTGCTGAGCCCAGGATGCTTGATACACCAGCAAGGCCTAGAGCCTGAACTGCCTCCTTCATTTATTCACCTGATGGACAGGAGGCAATGCTGCTCCAGTTTCCAGATACTGCAAATAGAACAAAGCTCCTGTCCTCAAAGAGACAGACAAGAAACCAACAGATGAGTCCAAATACAGCTTTGGTGGTCAGTGCAGTGAAGAAATGGTGGGCAGGGTAAGGAATGGAGGGCAATCTCACAAAAGCGGTCAAGGCCTCCGAGAAGACCGGGACAGAGGCCCTGAGGAAAGGGGGGATGGGCATGGAAGAAGCTGCCCCAGCAGGAACCCAGCGACTCAGGAGTGGCCACCATTCACAAGGTCGTGAAGTCACAATCCTGAGCTTGTCCTCATTTCCTGCCTCACCCCTAAACAGCCAGCTCCCAGTTCTGTGGTCTTCCTGAACAGTTCTGGTCATCTCCTCTCTGTCCTGCAGACCCACCCCACCTAGGTCATCACCCTCTCCCACCTGGACCACAGAAGTCGCCTTCTCTCTGGTCCCTGGTCTCCCGTTTCACTCTCACCCATCCCAAAGGCAGAGGGATCTTTCTAGAACACAAATGTGACCAAAAGCCCCTGCCCATCCCCACCCCTGGTCTCCCTGTGGACCCAGGTTGACACCAGGTAAGGTGCCAAATGCTTTGCCCAGAGCTCCCCAACCCCAGCCCTCCCCGAATCCACCCTGGGCTGTGAGATTCTCCTCCTCCTCCTCCGGGAGGCTTTCTTGGATCCTACAGGCTGGTTTTCGGGGTGCCCTGAGAATCCTCCTCAGATTTTTAACTAGACGCCCGCACCGCACCGAGCGAAGGAACCAATGAAGTGGCGAGCTCTGGGCTGGGAGTCGCACTGGGCACAGTGCAACGGTATCCGCTGTTTTCTCCCTCCTCACCCGGGGCAGGGAAAGGGACTGGGGCAGAGATCAGCGACAGCGCAGGAGCCACTGAGAACAAAAGCGCTGTAATGGGCCGCAGCTGGAGCGCGGCGCTGGAGGACGGTCCCCAGGATCTCGCGCGCACTGCGCCTGCGCGGCGGGCTGGCGGCTGCTGCAGACCCAGTGGGACGTGGGTCCCTGCGGGAAGGAGGGCGCGGGCTGGACCCCGACCCTGCGGGCGGGCGCTGGCCGGGCCGTGGATCTTTGTGGGAGCCTTCGGGTGCGATGCCCGGAAAAGGCGCCCGAAGCCCGCGTCCATCGAGACCATCTGCGCGGGGTTCACTCGCAGTAATCGGGACGACGAGGAAGAAGCCCGCTTTGCATTTGCCCGCCCGCGCGGAGCGGAGCAGAAAATTGTTGATTGCCGAGAAAAGAAAAAAAGCACAGCCATTAAACAATGGCGGGACCTGCAGGACGCTGATCGCGCCCTTGGCGCCCCTCCCTGCCCCCACACACACACTTGGAGGAGGGCGGAGCGGAGAGCGAGATCGCTAAGGGTCCCGCACCTGCACAAGGAGTAGGTCTCTGCCCGGAGGCTGGGGAATCACCCCAGTGTTGGACCCTGGAGCTCTAGAATGTGATGTCCCTTTTGGTCCCCAAGGGCTGTAATACCTTTGCAGATTGAGCGCAACCTGGAATATTTCTGGACATAGACAGTGTCCCATGATACTGGGTTGGGCCATTCTATCAGGTTCGTCGAAATTCCCGACTCCTCACCGCGGTTTATAAGACCCTATGTGGCCAGGCACGGTGGCTCACGCTGGTGATACCAGCGGCTCAGGAGGCTGAGGCAGGAGGATTGTTGAGTTCAAAGCCAGCCTCAGCAAAAGGAAGGCGCTAAGCAAATCAGTGAGCCTGTCTCTAAATAAAATACACAATAGGGCTGGGGATGTGGCTCAGTGGCTGAGTGCCCCTGAGTTCGATCCCCAGTACGGGGTGCGGGGTGAGGGGAACAACTATGTGACCGGTCTCAGCCCAGGACCCCAGCAGCGTCCCTACCAGGGCAACTCTTAATCAGAGGCCCTCCCGGACCAGCGATCATAGTGCAATTCCCCCCAGCTCCCGCATTCTTGGGATATCACCCAATTCCTTCCCCTCTCTTCCAAGGCATGCAATGCATCCTTCACTACAGTCTGTATGACCTTGGGAAAATTGCTTGATCTTCCTGAGCCTCAGTTTCCCCATAAATAAATGGGGCTAACCTACAACTCTCCCCTCCTGGACTTTGTCCGATTTGAGTGAAAACCAAGAACAAAAAGAGCACCTGTCCCTGCTCCACATGACAGTGACTGGCCTTAGGAAAATCTTGCTGATGCAGAAACTCCCTCCTTAAGCTGCGTTAGAGGTCACACAAGCAGGTCAACAAGGACACCTGCTAAGTAATAAACGCAAACACTGGCCTAGTGCTTACTACATCTCAGTGCTGTTCCAGGTGCTTCACATACCACCCTACAGAAGCCCGGCACACACTGCACAACTACCCTTTAGGGATGACATTATCATCATCATTCTTATTCTGCAGAGTGGGAAACAAAGCACAGAGAGGTTAATTAACTGGCCTAAGGTCACATACAGGCATAGCAGGACTGGATTTGAACCTATGCAGATGGGCTTCATCATCAGTGCCCTTTAACCACTACTCTGCTGAGTCTCAAATGTCAGTGTTCATGGTTTTGTTTTGTTTTTATAAATATGTATTTTTATTTTGTGGCACAGTCTTGTTAAATTGCAGAGGTGAATTTGGGATTCTCTAGTTGCTGGGATTAGAGGCTGTGCCACCCGGCCTGGCTTAGTTCACACTTTTAAGGGACAAACTAGATGACCCCACAGTTGCAGCCCAGTTGAGTTAATCCCCTCTGTTAATTAGGGTCTGGTTGCCTTATAATAAAACATTTTTGATTTATGAGAAAGCTGACGGTCTCTAGGCAAGGTCTCATTTCCTGCCCGCTCTTGGGTGCAACTGTTGCTGGCCAGGAAAGGATAAGAGTAAGAATTGACAGGCTGGGAGTGAGAAGAGCCCTGAGCCCAGAGTCCAAAGGCCCCTGGAAGGCTCTCCCTGGCTATGCCACTGATTTGCATATCCTCACCACCACTCCCACTTCAGACAAAACAAGGCCTATCCTAATTGCTGTCATTACCGTGTGCCAGGAACGGAGCAGGGCATTTTTTGTGCACAAGAAGTCTTTGAAGCTTCCATCATCATCTTCACCTTGGAGATGGAGAAACTGAGGCTCAGAAATGTGAAGCTGCTTCTCCAGAGGGTGGGCAGGGGGGTCCCAGGCCTGGGAGGGAGGCCAACTGCAGCCCTCTAGGCAGGGAAAGGCTGTGGAGAGGCAGGGCCCACCTGGGCTCCTTCACAGCTATGAATAGTTAAAAGGCAATTACGATGCTAATTTGCAGCTCTAATGGCTACAGCAGTGGAGCAGGGAGAACTAAAAGGCACTGCCAGGCAGGGGCCTGCAGGGCCAGCCCCTCTCCTAGGCCATCGCTGAGTTGCAGCAGACACACTGGCTTCTTGTGCCCCAAATGAAGCATTCCCCGGTCTTACACAAGGCTCAGTTCTGCCAGGTCCTTCCTCAGTGAGAGGAAATACAACCAGGGACAGCGAAGTTGCTTCTGACACAAGAACAACCACAAAAGGTGCTTTTTCTGTTGGAGCTTGGCTGCCTGAGGCTTTCCAGCCATGTGGCTCTAGGCCATGTATTGTTTCCTGGGCCTCAGTCTCCTCTTCTGTAGAATGGGATAAAAATTAGAGTATCCATCTCCGAGAGCAGTCGCCAGGTTTAAGTGACACAGGGCTGGTGAAGCCCTTTGCACTCACACAGTGAGTGCTCTGTCCATCAGGGCGAGCTCCTGGAATGGTGGTGACATGGGGCAGGGTGCTGGGGATGCCACTCTAAGATTTACAAGGTCCCAGCCTTGTGAAGAGACACTTAAGCAGTTAGAGTTTGAGCAGCGCTGCTGGGGAAGGCTGAGGGGGTGTGGGTCCTGTGGTGGGGAATAGCTGGCTGGGAAGAGCGCGGCAGGGGAAAGTGGCCTGTCCACCAAGCTCAGGAGCCAGTATGAGTTCCCCAGAGGAAGGCCAGGATGCGGGGTGGGGGATGCTTCCGACCTAGGCACCTCCGTCAGTGCTGGGCCCACTCAGCATCACAGACCTGCAGCAAGTTGTCTGCCTCTCAAAATCGGGGCTCAGGGCTGAACCACAGGAGTGGGTGATGCGACACTGCAGAATGGGCACATGAATTGCCTATGACTGCCCAAGATTGTGTCCTGGTGACTGAGGCTGTGATCCATGGCAAACAAAGTCCTCAGTGCTACAACACTTGTGTAGCATGCACTAGACCCTGGGGTGCTCCCCAGTACTGGAAAAGAAAAGAAAACGTCATCAAGTGGGAAAGAGAAACGGGGACAAAAAAAGCCTCAGGTGAGGTAGAAAGGACCCAAGGAAGAGGGCATCCCCACCTCCTCCTCTAGCTCCTCTCAGGGGGTCTAATTGAAGGAGGAGGAACCCTAGACCTGAAACTGCCCGGAATGCTTCCAGGTCACACATGGGACCCTCTGTGGCTCCATCCTCTCCCTCCTCTAGCTCTGTGGCTCTCAAACCTGAATGTGCCTCAGAACTTTCTGAAGGACTTGTGAAAAATACAGATTCTGGTCTCAACCCCCAGAGTATCTACTTCAGTAGGTCTGGGATGGGGCCCGAGAATCTGCATTTCTAATAAATTGCCAGGTTGCAAATGAGGCAGGTCTATAACCACACTTTGAGAACTCAGTTCTAGCCGGTGTAGTTAGAGGTGCAAGCCTGTAATCCCAGCAACTCGGGAGGCTGAGATAGGAGGATCATGAGTTCAAGACCAGCCTTTGCAATTTAGCAGGGATCTAAGCAACTTAGTGAGACCCTGTCTCAAAATAAAAAATAAAAAGGACTGGTGGCCGGGCTTGGTGGTGCTTGCCTGTAATCCCAGCAGCTCCGGAGGCCGAGGTGGGAGGACAGAGAGTTCAAAGTCAGCCTCAGCAAAAGCAAGGCACAAAGCAACTCAGGGAGACCCTGTCTCTAAATAAAATACAAAACAGGATTGGGGTTGTGGCTCAGTGGTTGGATACCCCCTGCCACACACTTACACACAAAAAAGGACTGGGGAGTACCTTAGCGGTTAAGTGTCACTCAATTAAATTCCCAGTAGCCAAAAACAAACAAACAAACAAAAAAAAAACAGTTCTCCAGCCTCCTCTCCCCTTGCCCGCTCCCTCCCATGCATTCCCTGTACCACCCCTTCCCCTGCTCCATGCCCTTGCCCATGCTGGTCCCTCCATCAACAATTCCCCTCCCTATATTACCTGGAAATCCACTCTCATTCTTTGAAACTGAATTTTGATGCCACTTCTCCCAAGAAGGCTTCTCTGACCCTCTAGCCAGGGTCATGTCTGTCTCTAGAGCCTCAGAAAAGTTTGTTTGAACCTCCATTTCCTGTAGCCATGATTCTCAAACTTGAATGTGCTCAAGAATCACCTGCAGGTTTGGTTCCGGTGCAGGCAGGGATTGAGTAGGTCTGGGTGAACCTGAGGTTCTGCAGTTGCAGCCAGTTCCCATGTGATGCCAATTAAGGCTGCGGTCCTCAGCCCACGGTCCTCAGCCCGCACCTCCTTCAGCCCGGGCCTTGGAGCCTGCCTCAGGTGCTGTGCTGTGCTGTGTCCCCCGCTGCTGGCTGGGAAGCCAGTTGTGCCTCTCATCCCAGTGCTGTGTTCAGGAATATCATGTTGGTGGCCTGAAACAGGCCATGATGAGAGTGTTGACATCACAGACGTCAGCAAATGCTGCAAATCAAATCTCTTTTCTCTGGAAAGCAGAGAAATGTCTATCAACACAGGGCTGCCTCCTGGTGCCCCCCTCCCTTCCCATCCTCCATGCCCAGTCTGTTCGCTTTCCTGAAGAGCCAAGCATTCCTTTTCTGGATGAGAGTCTCCGGGGTTGGGTAGCTGATTTCTCAACTCCGCTGAGATGTCAGGCTCACCTGGGGAGCTGTCCAAACACTGATGTCCAGGCTGTATCCTAGGCCCCTGAAATTAGAACAGGAGGAACCTAAATATCAGTATTAAAACCAAAGAATCACGTGAAAGCAGGGCCCTGGGTCACCGTGAGACAATGGGATTCTGAACTGAATCGACTAGAAACAACCAAAACAAAACAAAAAACTAAACTAAAAACAGCCCCCCCCCAGGTTGTCCTGATGGGGGTCTCTTGGCTCCAGCCCTGAGAAGCCCTCCAGTAAAGCCTGCTCTCCAGGTCCCTCCCAGCCACGAGGCCAAGAGACTGGCTCAGGAGGCCCAGGTGCCACAAAGGTATCTTTCATCTCACCTCCCCCTCCCCCACTCAGCAGAGGCCACTAACCAATCACAACCCTCTTCCGGGAGCCCAGATGCTTTCCCAGGCACCCAGGGGACCTCCCCTCCCCTCTGTCTCTGAGCACTTGGTTTCACTCTCCTGACTCTGCCATCTCCCAGGACCTCCAACTCCCCCAGCTACTGGACTTCAGCTCCCTTGAGTGGCATTTTGGAGCATAGTACAGGGCTGAGCATCTGTCAGGTATTTAGCCATGTCTGTGGGTACTTGAGAGGTACGGAAGGACAGTGCACCCTCCTGGTGTCTCAGTTACCTCGTGTTGAATGACAAGCTCCTCTAAAAAACTACTAGTTGAAAGAGAGAGATGTGTCACGCTCACCTGGCACACACGACACCCTGAATCCCAAGCACCTTTTTTTTTTTTTTTTTTAAATTCTGAGACAGAATAAAATAAAAAGAGAGACAGTAGTTTTATTTGCTCATGGTTCTGTGGGTCAAGGATTTGGTCAGGGTTTGTCCAGGTGCTGCTTCTGCTTCACGTGACGTCACGTGGCTTCCGCAGGAGGCTGGGAAACCATGCAGACTTTCAGAGCAGCCTCCACATTCTGTGTGGCCTCCTCGTATCATGGCGCCTGGGTTCCAACGAGGGGCACCTCGAGAAGCAAAGGCAGAAGCTTCTGGTGTCTTAAGGCCTGGGTCTCAGACTGAGTTATGGTGCCACTTCTGTAATACTCTACTGGCCAAAGGGCTCACAGAGCCAGCCCCAAATTAAGAGAAACAGACTCCAGCTGTTCGTGGAAAGAATGGCAAAGTTTTGCAGCCATCTTCAACCCACCAAATCCGGGGAGTTTAGGACGCCAGCGCACAGTAGCAATAACTATTTCTTTTTTCCTTCTTTCTTTCCTTCTTCCTTCCTTCCTTTCCTTCCCTCATTCCCTCCCTCTCTTTCTCTCTCTCTTTCTTCCTTTCTTTTCCTTCTTTCCATCTCTCTCTCTCCTTCCTTCCTCCCATCTTTCTTCCTTCCTTAAGGTTGAACCCCGGGCTGGGGTTGTGGCTCAGTGCTAGAGCACTCGCCTAGTGTGTGTGAGACCCTGAGTTCGATCCTCAGCACCACATAAAAATAAATAAAATAAAGGTACTGTGTCCAACTACGACTAAAAAATAAATATTAAAAAAAAAGAGATTGAACCCAGGGTTCTATACCACTGAACTATATCCTCAGCCCATTTTATTTGTTATTCTGAGACAGGACCTTGCTAAGTGGCCCAGGCTGCGATCCTCCAGCCTCAGCCTCCCAGGTCCCTGGGATTACAGATGAGCACCGCGGTACCTGGCTCAATAACTATTTCTTAAAGGATGAATAAATCAGTTCCATCACCAGGACTGGCTGGGGTTTCTCCAGGTGTGTGCCCTGACAGCCTGTCAGGACTGTCCAGTGTCCCCTTGAACAAACTCCTAACCCAGCGCCATGCTGTAGCTGACGAGGGAGGCAGATTCCTGCCCTCAGCCTGGTCCACTGATGTGAGAGGGAGGGAGGACTCACAAGGGGGACCTCTCGGAGGGGTGTGGGTGGGGGATTCCTGCAAAAGAGACACACTTGGGGGCAGGGAGCCTGGGCTGCCCCAGGCCCATTTCCATCTCATTGATGTAGAATTGGAGAAAATGCTGATTTTTTTTTCCTTTTCTTTCTTTTTTTTTTGAGCACTGGAGACAGAGAGCAATCTGGGTTGCTATGCAACCAGTGCCTGTGCCCAGCTGATAACACCAGAGGAATTAACTGTCCTTGTCCTGCTCAGGCTCTGGAGGAGGGGCTGATGCCGCTTCCCGAGCCTCTAGCCTCAGCCCCTGCCTGAAGAACCTCTGGCCCCACTATGGAGTGCGGGGCCCGGAACCAGGTCCCAGCGCCCTTTCCTTGGGTCACACAGCGCAATCCAAGGGGGGCCTTGCCTCCAGCCAAGGAAGGAGCTTTGCTCCAGGCTGAGGAAGGGGCTGCCTGAGGATCTGTAAGACTCGGGGTGTCTTCATCCCCTTTGATCTGAAAATGAGCTGCGAATTGAAAACAGACCTGAGCTGGAGGGAGGCAGCAAGGGGGGGCGAGGCTGGTGAGGGGCTGGCCGGGGCTGCCAACAAGATGGGCAGAATGAGGCCAGGTCCTGGGGCAATGAGAAGCACCAGCGCAGCCCTCGCCAGGCCCCAGCCAGCACCGCCTCTGCCACAAGCCCCCCGGGGGCCAGGGAGAAGCAGGCCAGGGGAGGGCGAGATGTCCTGGTGGGCAAGGGAGCCGTGGGCAAGGCCTTGGCATCCTGGGAAGGCCAGCGACTATCAGATCCAGAGTCAGAGAGCAGAAAGCAACCCATATGGAGACTCAGGAGGAGAGGCCAGTCCCCAGAGGACACATTTAATCGGTAATGGTTTGGATGTGGAATGTCCCCCAAAAGCGCATGTGTTGAAGACTTGCTTCTCAGTGCAGCAATGTCCAGAGGAGGATATGATTGGATCACGAGGACTCCAGTCTCATGAGTGGATTAATCCATTTGATGGAGTAATAATTTGGGTGGTGGAAACTGCAGAGAGGTAAAGCAAGTTGGAGGAAGTAGGTCACCGGGGGTGTGCCTTCAGGGGCTATATCTTGTCCCTGGTGCATGCATGTCCCTTCTCTGTCTTTCTCCTTCCTGATTGCCAGAAACGAAGCTGCTTTCCTTTGCCACCCCCTTCCATCATGATGTTCCTGCCTCGGAGCCAGCCGACCACGGACTGACTGAGAACTCTGAAACCTTGAGCCTAAATAAATCTTTCCTCCTTTAAGTTGTTTTTCTCAGATATTTGTCACAGTAATGAAAAGCTCACTAACATATCCTTCCTTCCACCAGATGACCTTCTTGAGGTCAAGAAACGTTTAACCTATGGGGTTCAGAATCAGACCTGGGTTCAAATTCAGCCACTTAGAGCCATGTGACCTTGCGCCAGTCACTTGGCCTCTCTGAAGAAGAGTATCTACTCTACAGATTTGTCACAAGGTTGAAAGAGATGTATTTTAGGTTGAATGGCAGTCAACTGCCATTCCTATGGGTGAAAACTGGTTGAATCATTAGTTCTTTCATTTGGTTCACCCTAGAAAGCCAAGTCTGAGCACAGTGTCCAGCCCAGTAGATACACCCAGTAAGGAGAAGCAGCAGTTGGCACGTCCGCTGTGCTGGGTGGTGGTTCATGTCAGTGAATGGGTGCATGGAAGACACCGGGTGGCAAAGTTGCAGGTGGCTGTTCCTAGGGCTCAGAAGAAGCTGAGGTGCCAGGAGAGAGCTGCTCGTGACCCCAGAGACCAAGTTTGCAGCCCCTGCCTGTTTCCTCGGGGCCAGCAGCAGCATCCCCACCCCGTGTGCTCTCAGTGTTTATTTCCATTTCTTGTCCCACTTAGGGAGCAAAAGTCTTGTTTTCAGGTTACCATGGTTACCATTTACTTGTGCACTTAGGCTGTGCCCTGTTCCAATCTGAGCACTTTGCAAGCATTAACTCATTGACTCTTAACAGCAGCCTAACTTGAACCTCATTTTTTAACCATTTGAGGCAGAGTTTTTAATTTGTATTTTGTGGAGGTACAATTTACAAACAATAAAAGGCACCTGTTTTCAGCGTGCAGTTCCATGAGTCTGGACTGGTGTACACACCCGTGTAACAACTGCTACAATCAAGATAGGACATTTTTGCACAAGAAAGTTCCCTTGTACCCTTCTGCAGATGGTCCCATGGATCCTCCCCTGTCCACATAACCACAAGTGCACTGTCATGTAGATTGCTTTTGACTTCTCCAGCACTTCATAGGGATGGATTTATAAGTATCTGTTTTGTGTTTGGCTTCTCTTGGTCACCACAGGTTTGTTCCTTTGAATTGCTGAGTAGTTGTTATGGACTGAATTGTGTGGCCCCTGAAAAACTGTAGGTTGAAGCCCAAATCTGCAGGGTGAATATATTTAGAGAGGGCCTTCAAGGAGGTGATTAAGGTTAAATGAGGTCTCCTAGGCTACAGGATTGGTGTCCTTATAAGAGGAGACCCCAGGGATGCTTGGGCACAGAGGTAAAGACATGACAAGAGAAGCACTTGCCTAACATGCCCAAGGCCTTGGGTTCTGTCCACAACAGGAAGGAAGGAAGGAAGGAAGGAAGGAAGGAAGGAAGGAAGGAAGGAAGGCAGACACTGTGCGAAAGTGGACAACTACAAGCCAAGAGTGGCCTCAAGAAAAGCCAGCCCTGCTGGCACCATGATCTTGGATGTCCAGGCTCCAGGAACTGTGAGAAATGAATTTCTCTTTAAGCCTCCCAGGCCGTGGTGTTTCCTTCTGCCCGTCTCAGCTGAAGAATCAAGTACAAGCAAGCACCATGTGTAGGTTCATGAGAGGTTGCACATTAAATGCCCGACGACTTGGCTGAGGCTCTGCAGATCAGCTAGGAACTCACCTGGGTCGTCAGGCCTGCACCCCAAGCAGATGGAGCAGAAAAGTAGCACAGACTGGGCACTTGCTTAAAAGCCAGCAGAGAGCTGGGCTGGTGACCTGGGAATCCTGCCTCCACACCTAGAACCAGGGAGTCCTGCTTGGTAGGAGGAAGCAGGGGATGTTAATCATATTAGTCATGATGAGTTAGGAAGCTATTCGTCCTGGGCCCCAAAGTCTTAGATCTTTGATCAGGACCTACAAGCCCTGCAAGGTCCCTTGGGGATACTGCACAGAGGAAAAGCCAGGTCAAAGTCAAATTTTATAATTCTTGGAGGCCTTGGACTAAAACCCTCTGTGGACTCTTTAAACTCTAGTCTAAATCAGTCAAGGGGGTCTCAGGGTCCTGCAGGTATCATTTCTCCTAGAGATGGCGTACAGATGAATGGTAGCCTGGACCTCCCTTCAAGGTTAAGGTATGCAGCCAACTAAATAAACAATGTAAGGTCTAGCTTCATGATAAGGCCTTTACCCAATTAGAGATTATTCCCTTAGG